TATCCCTGTCATATATGTATGAATAACACTCTTCCTACGTTTAAACATGTATTGTATTCATATGGTCATTACATTACATTACAGGTCACTTGTTAGACGCTTTTATCCAAATCGACTTACATACTCAATACTGGAGCAATTTGGGGTGAAGTGTCTTGCCCAAGGACACAACGACCTACTGTACTGACTGCAGTGGGTTTTGAACCTGTGTTTGCACCACACGCCTCCCGGTCATGATTCAAATAAGGATAAAGATAGGTCACTAAAAAGTATAAAAGGCTTAGTGAGGTTCAGTCAGTAAACCCACTGGCAGGCAGCCACTGCCCTGACTCAGCTGAGTGTTTGTTCACTTCACAAATCACAAACACTCCTAAATTCAGCAGTCCATTTTAGATGCTGCTCAGTTTGCTGATGCTGTAACTACTATTGCATGCTTTACAGATATATATGCTATCTGATTATTTATTTTGCTCTTTATCTATTTCATTGGTAAAATGGCATGTTAAATCAGATGGCTCAGAAAACCTAAATCAAAGTCAAGGTTAAGACCCTTCAGCGGAGGAGAGCGACACATGGCATTAGAGATGCCATTTAATCTGTTGCGCATCTTTTTCCTCAAGAGCGAGAATGTATCACCTGTTTCCTGCTAAAATGTATGGTGTTGCTGCAAAGTCATTTGGATGAAGGATGCCGTAACACTTCAGCTCTGTTATCACCAGAATTAAATATCTCTCTTGCATCAGGATTTATTGAAAACATCTAGTAACCTGAACCTTATGAAGATAACATATAATGCTGTAACTGGATTTGGGAGGATTTCCAGTGATGACTGATTTCAAGGTGAATGACCTCATGTAATTAATTATACAGGGCTTTTTGAATGGAGCAGCATGCCTTTATCATCTTAAGTATTTTGAGGTGATAAATCTAACTGATCCCATCGTCTTTAATAACGAGGCATCAGTTTGTAATAAATGTTCTTCGCACATTTTTATTAATAAACTTAGCATGTGTGTGAGGGAGAAAGGGGTTGTACAGTATGCCTACCGTCTGCTCTTATTCTTGAACTACAAAGATGTTTATAAAGCAAGTCCTAAAGGTCATACATACTATTTATTTGAATGTAAGTTACCATATCAGATGAAGTGGTATATTGTTGTTTTTCTGTGATGTGAAACACTGTAATTCCTTTTTATTTCAACATTAATCGAGAACATAATAGGCAAAAGGACAATGTATTGTCTTAACATTATGTATTCGGTGTATGGCAGGTGTGATAATGCGTATGTAGGAAGATGTGTGCTCCAAGATTCATGCGTGTACCTTTCCATACAATAGTTTTGTGCATAATCCTTTAAATAAGAAAAATGTAGTTCCATGCTCTTCTTCATTCAGCATCCATATTGAATAAATCAGATTACCCTGACTAAAATGAAATATATTTTTCAGTCAGTACGTTTTGGCTGGCAGCCAGTCACTTGTATATCTCAGGTTCCATGCCTCAGCCAATCAGACACACTCCACAAGAAGGACAATCTGTGTAAACGGGGAAACGTAGCTGGTCTGTGCTCCTGCTACAAATGTGCATACAGATGCATGCTGAGGGTGTCAATTTGCACACCTACCACCATCACCTTTAGGTGTCATGTCAATCTGCTTCTGTGAGATACGAACACTTCTGCTGTTCTCTCATGGCAATTTATGGCAAAGGCTGTACATACAAAACTGTTCTATTCATTGCCAAAAGTAAACAAATGTTTGCAGTAGCAGTTTAAGCCAACTGTAAGTTGTCCCTTCTTACATAAAGCTTTGACAGCTACTGGGCAATGACAAAGGATAAACATAAGTGTAGAGACCATACTGACAACTTATGAATACAGACTCATATTACAGTTTCGTCTTGTGTTTGTCTTGGTTTGATTGTACTACTGTTTTTGTTTTTCTCACCGATTGTTTTCTATGATTCCAATTCAAGACACGTTCACACAGTGTTATATATACTGTGCTGTGGGCTATTTGAACTTGGATAATAAGAATTCCTTAAAGGCTGTTTGCCATACTTTTGGAGATATGTGTAAGATGCAGAATCTTCTACTGAAGTTATTGGCACTGTCTGAAAATGGAAGGCAAAGAAGACAAAAGACAAATCTATATCTTAAAAACGATCTATATCAAACAGGAAGGCTAGTTAATTGGACACATTCCAAATGTGGGTATATATATATATCTTGGATTAGCTGGGAATTGGGAAGGACTGTCACTGCCAAGATGGCGACGAGCAGAGTCAACCGCTTTGAACCAATAGATTTACAGAAACTCTTGGGTGACATCACAGGCGCTGCTTCCATATGTTACAGTCCATAGGAGGCTCCCAAAGGAATTAATGAACATCCAGTTGACTTGTCTTTGAACTATGGGATGGCATTAAATGCTTTTCAGAAAAAGGGACTACATTAACTGGTTATGACATTAAAATAAATTCATGATTTTAATTGCACATATGAATATTTTATGTTAATAACAAATCAAATGTCTTTGTGTTATGCGAAACTGTTGATTATGCTAATGAAAACCCCTATTTCCCAAAAGTTCCGTTCAGTTTTAGACCAAATCCCTTCAGAACCTGGCATCCTCTAGTTCTAGTTTGATTTGTTTTAAGAATAAATAACTAATAATACAAGCAGAACATTAGTATCAAAGATATACATTACTTGCACACATTAACAAGTCTGTCCTTAGAACAGACTGTTTGAGTTTTGTCATCATTTTTACAAGGACAATGACTCAGTCATACATTATTTTAGGAAAGGTTAGGCAGAACTGTTCAACTACATCAAGCTGTGTCAGTGTTTTTCATTTTGCCAGTTCTATTGAAATTCAGGTCCCGACCTTGCAGGATTTGAACCATCAGAAACAAGATGGCAGAGATGCTGCTGTGAATCTCTCGGGCCGAGGGAGCATATTTATTCTGAGTAAATCATAGACCAATGCTTTCACAAGTCGAAAAGCGCAGCACCTTTTCGAGGTTCAGATATCTGCATTCATAAGCTACCACTCAATAGTGCGTGACTCTGTAGCCTGTTAATGAGTCATTGCATTAACAGAGAATTTCTCACACTTACTGAGATAAATTAAAATAATGTATCGCAACAGTCTTTACAATTCCAGATTAAACATCTGGCTCGCCCTGTGAGTTATTGTTTAACTTTAGCTCTTTGTTTATTTAACCATACCATTTTTTTTATGAAGAGCCTCTGGATGCAATTTTTGAATCCAGTTACACATGACAGAGATGAGTGTCTTGGGACATGGAAGCACAGTGGGAAGAGGAATATCAAGATAAAGACTCTCATAAAAAAAGGGTGAGGGTGCTTGTCAAGTACACAAAACCCTTTGAAGTGAATTTGTCCTTCAGCATCGGGTTCTGTGCGCTTTGGTGAAAGATTAGACCTTGTGTCACATTTTTACTGCCTGTGTCGAGGAATTATAGAGATAGATAGGAAGAGAGCAAGAGAGGTTTATAGATATAGGCAGTCACAAAGGAAGAGATGTGTATGGATATAATGACAGAGATATAAACTGATGGGTAAAAGATAGAAAGAAAAAAAGTATATATTAGTAACGTTTTATCAAAATGTCTTTTATTATAAAAAAGATGGGGAATGTCCAGTCTCTGTCTCTGATAGTTGCCAAATAAGTGCTAAACAAAGTTACATCATTAAAAGAGCTGCAGACATTTTAGATGTTTTCTTACCCTAAAGCTTCTTATTTTAACTTTACAGTCTCCTTGTGAACTCAAACATGATGAGGTTCTTTGTTATAGCCAAAGTTTGCACAAGTCTGATTCGCATCTTGTTTTTATCGATACATCAACATTTTTAACTCAAACAAGCAGGACACCTTTTGTTCTATTTAGATTTTTTTTCTGCTTTCCACTTTTGTTCTGATGGACAAATTAAACATAAAAACAGGTGGATAAAAAGTCCCCTAATTATACTGTAAAGATCAAGTATAATACAAATAGTTAGATATATCTGAATAAATAATCATTGGTACTGTATATACAGTTAACAAGTTCAAGATGGATGGATAGATCTTAAATATGATTTTTTTTATCATCATCTTTTAATCAAATGGAATTACGGTAGCCCGGAAAGCCCAAGCCGATCACAAAGTGGAGGTCAGAGAGAGGTCAGTAGGATAGTATTGTCTCTTGATGAATGACATGACTTAAATATGCACTGACCAATACATCAGGCAATTGGATCTGCATTCCAATAGTCGACCATGCTCCATAACAAAAAAAGCGGTATAACTAGCCTCTCTGAAGTCACAGAGAGCAACCCTCTGAACTGGTGCGGAGTCCCATGTGGAGGCTTCAGTGTTCATGCTCACATCATGAGAAGCTTTGAGGATGGCTGTGTATCAAGCTATCTAGGAGACAGCCTCTATGTTGCATGTGCCTACTGAAGTGAAGCAGCAGAGTGAATGTCAGGCAGCGCTGGCCACTGTGTCAGTTTAGGGGTGGCGGTATAAAAGCGTGTGTGTGTGTGTGTGTGTGTGTGTGTGTGTGTGTGTGTGTGTGTGTGTGTGTGTGTGTGTGTGTGTGTGTGTGTGTGTGTGTGTGTGTGTGTGTGTGTGTGTGTGTGTGTGTGTGTGTGTGTGTGTGTGTGGGCGGGCGAGAGCCCATCCTAACCTGGGCCTGTTATGTGAGCGGTGATGTTAGAGGTAATGTGTGTGGTGGGAGTGAGAATACAGGTTTAGACATTGAGCAAGAAGCCAGTGCATGACTGCATCATTGTGTGGACTATGCAGTTCAGTGAAGGGGAGATTTGATATTTTCTTCCTCTCAGTGGGGGCTTCCTTTGAGCCAGAGCTTTGCCCAGGGAACATTCACAAAGGAGTCTTCTGCTGCAGCTGGCAGAATCCTGCTTCGTGATCTAAAACCAATTTCGCTATTTGAATAAGCTAACACTTATTTCCTTATCTTCTCTTTGCAGTCAAAAAAAATCCAGGCTCAACTGAAAGAACTGCGGTACGGGAAAAAGGATTTAATTTTTAAGGTAAGTTCAAACTGAAGGGGGTGTCTTTATAGTAGCTCCAGACCAGGGGTAAACAGGTACTTCAGACCACCTTGAAAAGGATGATCCCATCAGAGGAGGTACTCCAATTAAGTCAGTCGGCAATTACAAAGTCCCACCCTGTCAGCAGCGCGCAAAGCCAATTGGCCAGCGCTCAGTCCACACACAACATAAGCCCTGTCCTCTGATTTCCACTCTGATCCAACCCATCCTTTTCAATCATGGGAGGTATATGGTTGAATGATGTTGACAGCAGTGGGTGAAGTTTATACAGAATTGTGCATTAGAACCTATAAGGGAATCTTCAAGACGGAAATGAAAGATTACATTATGTAACGCTCCAATTTGGTGGGATCCATATATGATGGGGCATCAGAATTGTATCTTCCACACACATACTTACTCTGTAAAGCAAAGAGTGGCAAACAAGAGACTGTTCAGTATTGTACCCATACATACGCCACTGCCCTTTGTTTTTGCAAAGATTAAATGTCCAACCATCTGAGAGCAATATGTAATATTTATTGGCATTTACTGGTAAATGCACTGACCTTTCAGGCCTTGTTTGCACTGTCAAAATATCAGTTGACATTTCTGCAGCAATGCTCTTCAATGTCATTTCTTAAACGTACATTTTGATCCCGCAGACTTATTGTTCCTAAAGCTGTGTCAGACATTAATGGATAAAAAGGACTCAATCCTTGCAGACTGAACGTTATGCTTCTACGCCTGAATATATTGTCCCTGAATGTCCTGCTCCATGGCATGTACTATTTCTAGCTTGAGAATTATGGATGCTTTTTACTTGTTTGCTTAGTGTCATTGCTCGTAAATCGTTTTCTCTAAATTGCATCAGTCACTCACACAACATAACCTTATGCTCAATGTCACCAAACGATTCATGTGGCCCTTTAAACATGATGGTCTTATATGATTTGCAGTTGCAGATGGATAAGCCTAATGGTATCATACTCATCTTAGGAGAGATGACATTCTGCTTCTTTTCTAATGAAAAGGTGAGAGGGAAATGCATCATGTCCGTCTGACCCCTCTGATCCCAGTTGCTATTTTTGAAAACTCATATGTATTCCACATATGCTGTGATCAAAAGCCCAGAGGGAGACTAGGGAGCAGGAAGCAGAGAAGAGTCACTCAAGATTCTGAAATGTCTTCAGCCTCACAGGGGGGGTGTCAGTCAAAGCACCTGACCGGCAGGCAGTTAGATTGGTTATGATGGGCGTGGCACCATATCAAGCAGTGTCACAATGCACAAAGACACAACAACCTTGCATTTTTGTCTTGGGAATAATTGAGTCTTTCTTGAAACTGACAGGTAGGTCATAAAAGATGAAGAATTATAAAACAGTAAACTACTGCACTGTTTTTAAACAAAGCAATAATGCGAGTTTAAAAAAAATTAGGGCATGATACATTACACCCACAGTAACAGAAAAGCAGCCTTTTGTTTTCTGAATGTTTTCTAAAGTGCATAATTTGTAATGGCCCGCAGATTTGAAGGACAACTTAAAAAGAGTCCCGACTCAGTGAATCCAAACTGTGCAGCCCCAGAACATAACTGTAAACATTAACACAGGCAGGCTCCCCTTCACTTGCTCAGCCAAAACATTATAAAACTTCAGAGGAACTGACAGTGCCTTCCCCCGCGTATCCCTACAAGACAATATTTTTGGCCGAGGAGCCTTATTCAAGCCTTCACATCTTCACTCCGTCAGACCACTTTTACATTTACCCCCAGAGCTGTTTCTCCTCGAGAAAAGCGAAGGAGTGAAAAGAAATATTATGGTTTGCAGTTGCATGCCTCGTCTCGCAGTGGCTAGTGACCCACTGACCCGTCACCTCTGTAATGGACTCAGTGCAGTAATATAGAGCTTTAGACCTGGAGGTACTAACCCTGAAAGTCAGCATATCTGGGTCAGTGGCCATGTTCCCCGCAGCCCTCAGAGGTCTCTCCGCTGATGATGCTCAGTGTAATGGACGGTAATGGCGCATTACTGTGATGCTACACAACAAAACACACAGTCTTTGGAGACAAGCTAAGAGCTGGATGAATGTGTTTGCAACCTGATCTCATCATTATTCATTGCTCTACTACACACATATATATACATTACGCAGCAATGTTTACAGCAGCTCCAAGTGAAGTGTTTTCAATTGCTGTTTGTTCTTTCAGCTGATTGTAACATTTTATTATAGTATCCTATCCAGCTCTTTACTGGCAAATCTCCAATAATATGTCACACGTCTTGTTGAATTGGACTGTACCCCATTATGCTGAAAATAATCCAAACGTATATCAGTGAATGCTTTTCATTTAACACAAAGAAATGATTTGCAATCTTTTGTGTTGATGATTAAAGAACTGTTCGTCCAAATATATTACCTTTAGATTCCCTGCGGAGCGCAGCCCGACACCTGCAGTACAAATGAATTTCTAAAATGGTTCCAAACTGTAAATTGGAAAAAACATCTTCTCTCAAAGATTTGATTCCTGGGCTTCTGTGAAAAAGTCATTGTGGTGAGAGTTGCCCTGGCCTTGACTGTCACTGCATGACTCATCCATCAGAGAACACGTAAACATCATTTCAGCTGCCCCTGTTGACTGGTAGAAGTGACAGACATGTTCATCATTAAAATGTACGCTTGGCTAGTAGAAACCGAGATGAAAGAAAATTTGATGATCCTGTGGAAAGCATGCTAAGATCCCCCACTGTGTCACAAAATTCGCTGAGGTACCAAACACGACGATAAAACTCCCCAGAAACCATCAATCAGCCTCTTTGCCCATCTCCAAAAATCTCCAAACACTTTTTCTTCCCAAATATTGTGGATGCTGTGTGTTGGGTAAGCTGACAAGCTGACCTTGGGCGTTTCAGGATGTAGGCCCATGCAGTTTTTCATTTTGAGAGGCCAGTAACAGACACCCAATAAAAAAAGTTTGTGGCTCAAAGTCAATCACCAAGGCAAGTTCTACGTACGCAGACGGCATGCAAATGATCCAAAAAGAGTTTATTGTCTTCTTGTTGATGGGTTTATCAATAATGAAAGACTCATCAGAAGGTACTCTGTTGATCCTCATATGGCGTATACTGGCTCACTTACTGCAGAGCAGAGAATATATATGTGTGTTATTCAGCTCAGGGATTAAACTCCAGCAATGATCTGCTCATTAAAGGGCTTTGGTGGTTCCAGGGGGGCTGCTCCTATAACTGTCTGGATTAAACCTTTCTTTCTAAAGAACTGATGTGATCTTTATTTTAATTGTGGCTTTGAATTAATTTTGTAATCCCTCTGGATTCCGCACCTTTCTGCTCTCAGGAAATAGATCGGAGGTATTATTCATAAAGCAGTTCAGTACTCACAAGTATCAATATAATGCAACTATGATTATGGAGGTTTATGAGATCCCAATGCTCTCCTGTGTAAAGACCCAAGGGAATCATTGAGTTCTTAAAAGCGTATAATGTAAATGGGGTTCAGTACCCAATCGATGTGTATAAATGTGTGTATGTGTGAAGTGTCATTATGCAGATTTAAAAAAAAGTCAGGACAAAGGGAATGATCGGCAATGTAATAAGGAGGAGTCTCAATCCTGTGTGCTATGGATCTGTGTTATTGATAGTGCTGCGGAGACTCACTGGGGCTGGAGGAAATGCTTTGTGTGCACAGAACAAAGAGGGTCGAGCTGATTCAAAAACCATGTCTTTCTGCAGGGGCAGCAGCTAATGGACTTGGAGCAGAAGTTAACCATCGCCAAGGAAGAGCTGGAGAAGACTGCCCTGGATAAGGTGAAAGAAATGATGATTTCCTGCTGTTTTATGCCCATGCAACATTTGTTTACTTTGGTTCAGTCCACACAACACATAAGCCTGTATATGTGTGGGAGATACATTATGATGCCCCATCATAGGTTCAGAATCAGAATACCTGTATTAGTCCCACAGAAGGGAAATGTACGTTGTTACAGCAGAAAAAGAGCCAAAGACAGCTTAATGTTACGAAGAAGCATGCATACAAAAGTATTAAAGTAAAAATAAAGGTTATAATATAATACAAAATAGAATAAAATAAAAAGTTACATAATTCATAAAATACACATCATGTAACAGTTCTTAGGATTTATCAGCCGGGTATATATTACACAGTTATAACGGCATATCTATATATTGCACACATAGCACATATTGCACATAGTTGGTTGGTATTTAACAGCAAGGGGTGTTTATAGTCTGTGTAACTTTAAACTAATCTTGTCCCTCTCATTTGACCCATTTAAACCCTGCGATGTCAAACACCGAATAAACAATAAAATTGCTTTTGAATTATTTAATGAATAAAGTATGTTAAGTAATGTTAGTCTGTTAACCTGTTCTAGGGAGTGCAGTTTGAGAATAACATGTGGCTCATTAAGGAGAATATATTTTCCAGATGATTCGCTTCAGCAGGATTCAAAGAAAGTGGCAGTTTTCATTTATGAGGTATAATGTTTATAAATGTGGTTATTGACACACTGACTCCGGGGGCAAGTTAGATGAGTTAAAAATACATGGGGAGGAAAGTGTTGCCTAGCAAAACAGGCAATTATTTTGTACTTGCATCAGAGGCCCTTGTAAAAAAGATGAAACAATCATTCTGTCCATTATTATTATTGATTGAAAGTGAAATCATCTTTTGAGCATTGCTTCTTTTATAACTCTAGTGAGTTGCGCTTCATGCCTTGCCTAACGATGCCTCCAACAGTAGCTGTACTAAAGCTGCTTTTAAGCATGGCCAATGGCTTTAATGCTTAAGTACATTTCTCTTGTGGATGCATGGAAGGAGGCATGGAGGGATTCAGAAATGTGCTTTTGTGTGTCATTTTGTTTGGGGACAGGAGTCTCAGATGAAGGCACTGAAGGACACAGTTCACATCTGCTTCTCAGCTGTCCTGCACAACCAGCCCAGCAGCAGCCCCAGATTCCTCCCCTCCCACCTGTTCAGATACTCATCGCTCATCAACAGCTCCAGAGTCACCTTTCAGCAGCCACATGCCAAGGTAATTCACTATTCCACTCACTCACGTCTCATTTCATATTTATTCAAAGGAAGGTCTTACTTCTTGTAGAACACCAACCATTTTTTTTAATTTAATTAATCGTCAAGTGTATGCTCGGGCTAAGATATACCTATTGTAGACGATGGCTTGCTCATGGATGTCAACAGAAGCATTTATATCTTGCATTCATTCAAATGTTAATGATGAAGTAATAGGCTTTAAATAGGTCATGATAAACTATATTCTTATTTCCTTTGGTTGCCATATCTTACATGTTTTCTTTAAAAAAAAATAAAAAAGCTTTATAGCCACTGATAGCACATATATTTAACACTTGTTCTAAAACTACCTCTCTATTTTCTGTCTCCTTAAAACTTCACTCATATATTTCAGGAAATAAATTAACCTTGGTGGATTTCTTCCATAAAATAATTCTATGAAAAAAAACATCAGGCTGCACAATAAGCTATAAAAACATTTATGAAAAATATCACTTCAAATGTTTAAAATTTGACTATGACTGCTTGAACTTAAATAATTACATCTTTTATCTTTCTTGAGATCTAATTTACCACAAACACACGCCTTACCTAGTCTACTATTTTTGGAAACATTTATCTTGAACTTAAGATTGTTTAAAAGTCTTACATTACATTTTAAACTTGTTGAACTCCAGTATTGTTGAATGAACTATGCTGTTCTCTAACTTAATCCGAGTGAACATTTAGTGTACCGGTAGATGAAATCAGAAAAATTCTAAGCAACACATTTAGTAGCGTGGATCCAGGTCATTCTGGTAATCACGGTTGATTGCATTTGCTAGGCAGCCTCATTCACTGTGGCTATGAATAAACATTACAGGCTGAAGGCAAAAAGCATTTCCTCAGCCCATTTCAATAACCAGCAACACGACCAATGGTCCATTTTCACAGGCGACATTTTGTCTTGTAATAGCAGGCAAACTCAGGTGCACCGATTACCATTAACATTGACTGTATTCCATTGAAGTGTCAGAAACACAGCCAGAATGAATCAGTAGTGCCTTGAAACAGGTAGAGCTAAATGGAGTATGTCACTCAATCATGTTATTAATTACACCTGTGCAGTGGCGGTTCTACGAGGTGGCAGGGGGTGGCAGCTGCCACCTCAGAAAAATGCCTTGCCACCCCAGCTGCCACCCCAGTTGGCAGCTTTGTTTTGAAAGAAAAGTTGTGGCTCATCGGACATTTATGAGAGAAAATCTCTATTGTCCGAGTGCAAGTGAATGCAGCACAAGACGCGAGCCTTGTAACCCCTCCCCCCCTGGCACGAGCTTGGAAATATGATTGGCGGCGATTTCCTTTGAACGGGGGGACAGCGCAAAACGAGAAGCATTTCGGATCCAAGTAGACGGAAGGAATGAGGTATTTGCGGTCAGGGTCAGGGTATGGCTGGGGTAGGCTACAACCATACATGGCTTAAATGGCTTAGCCCCACCATGAACAATGATGTTAAAGTAAGCAAAAATAAGTCTGCCAACTCGCGCAGAGTAAATTGCACAGACAGCAGCTAGTAAGATTGATTTCAGTAGCCACTTGTCTGGAAATACCGAAGACTAGAAACGGTTTTGAAAACTTTTGTCACGTAGTGATCGTCTTCTCAATAGAACATCTTTGATCATGTCTTCTGGCCAATCAGAATCAAGATAACGGCGTGGTGTTGTTGCAGGAAGTCCCGACGGAGAATACTTTTGCGGTAGTACATCTCTATATACATCGATACAACATTTTGTGTTGATAGAAATCAACACGTAATGAAATAAGACCCCACGGTTTGATGATTGATAGGTGAGTGGGCTGTCTTTCATTTTGACACACAGAACAATGGGGGCTATCCACCCTTATCCACAAAGTAAAGTCATTCACACAGCCTCTTCCCTCTTCTCTCTGTGAGGAGCAGCAGGTTCAGCTTTCAGAACAAAGTAACAAAAAACTAAAATGGCATTCATTTTTTTAAATATGTCGTGGAGTAATAGATTTATTTATTTTTCTTCTCCAAGAGAGTACCAGAATGTGTATTTTATGTTAGTATTTCAAAAAATCTCCTGGGACCCCCCAGACCCCCCTGCAGGGGTTGGGTTTTCAGCATGTCAACTCTTTCACTTGTGGGTAAATTGCAGGATTGGCTCCAGGTCGCCCTCTTTATTTACTACAAGAGAAATGTGCCTTTTTATTTCATACAGTTACATTTGGATTGAGACAGGGAAGTAATCTAAACCTCACGCGTGGCGTTTCACTGTCAAGCGGAGCGTACGTAATTGCAAATACTGACTTGAGAGCCCCACCACTATATGGGTTAGCCGGCCCTACCATAGATTACCCAACACAAATACTCTTGGGCCGCCACTGTTTGCGGTCTACAATGACAGAGAAGAGTCTGTCAAGTTTGGCTGTACTCAGCATTGAATCAAAACGCACCATATCTTTAAATCGTTTGTGAGGCGTTTTGCTGATTAAGATGGTAATCGCCACATTCAGCTGTTATAGGCATGCCAACTTGATGCTCTGCTCACGGATGAGTCGATGAGAATAATAATCTGTTAAAATGATGACCTTACGTGTGTAAATATATTTTTCTTCTTTGTGGGGGTCTGCCCCCCAAAAACAGTCTCAAGTCCTGAGAAGTCAAATAAGACGGGTGTGTAAAACATTCACTGCCCAGCCCAAATAAAGAGTAACCACTTTGATTTAACTACTGTACGGCGAGTAGGTAAGGGATTTCCACTGGACGGANACCTGTGGGAAAATTGCAGGATTGGCTCCAGGTCGCCCTTTTTATTTACTACAAGACAAATGTGCCTTTTTATTTCATACAGTTCAATTTGGATTGAGACAGGGAAATAATCTAAACCTCACACGTGGCGTTTCACTTTCAAGGGGAGCGTGTATGTAATTAAATTGCAAATACTGACTTGAGCCCCCCATATTTTTCTTCTTTGTGGGGGTCTGCCCCCAAAAAACTGTTTCAAGTTCTGAGAAAGTCAAATAAGACGGTGTGTAAAACTTCACTGCCCAGCCGAAAAAAAGTAACCACTTTGATTTAACTAGGCAAGTAGGTAAAGACTTTCCACTGGAAAATAACTTACTGCAGCGATGTTTATGTTTGAGCTGAATACACGTTTTTTAACCCTAATTGATGCAGTTAGTCACTTCTTTAAAGGAGACCTATCATGCTATATTTAAATGATATAGTGTAAGACCATACCTATGTAAGGTATATTTATACATTTTATTTTTCAAAATACCAAACAGATTATTTTTTAGCCATGCCTCGTTTCGCTCATTTTCGCTCTATTCCAAGCCTGTCTTTGAAAATNCCTCATGTGTTCACAAGAAAATAACATGAATGCCTTCTTTAAAGGAGACCTATCATGCTATATTTAAATGATATAGTGTATGACCATACCTATATAAGGTATATTTATACATTTTATTTTTCAAAATANGCCGCCACTGTTTGCGGTCTACAATGACAGAGAAGAGTCTGTCAAGTTTGGCTGTACTCAGCATTGAATCAAAACGCACCATATCTTTAAATCGTTTGTGAGGCGTTTTGCTGATTAAGATGGTAATCGCCACATTCAGCTGTTATAGGCATGCCAACTTGATGCTCTGCTCACGGATAAGTCGATGAGAATAATAATCTGTTAAAATGATGACCTTACGTGTGTAAATATATTTTTCTTCTTTGTGGGGGTCTGCCCCCAAAAAACTGTTTGAAGTCCTGAGAAAGTCAAATAAGACGGTGTGTAAAACTACACTGCCCAGCCAAAGAAAAGTAACCACTTTGATTTAACTAGGCCAGTAGGTAAGGACTTTCCACTGGATAATAACTGCAGCGATGTATATGTTTGAGCTGAATACACGTTTTTTAACCCTGGGTTAAAAAACGTGTATTCAGCTCAAACATATACATCGCTGCAGTTATTATCCAGTGGAAAGTCCTTACCTACTGGCCTAGTTAAATCAAAGTGGTTANACCCAGGATTCCTGCTCCTTTCCTGGGTTACAAAGTGAGGTGACGCAGCCTGTCCTCTGGGTGCGCTCTGTGGGGGGGGGGTATCGCAGCCTGCTCCTCTCTGCCTGCCTGCCGCTGCGCTCTGCCTCTATCCACACAACTTTTCCCCGCCTTTCAGAGACTTATTGCTGGGTCAAACTCTAAGTTACAAACTGTACACATTGCATTCTTGCTAATTAGCCAAAATATGAACGGAATAAGTAGCAAGCATCGTAACAAACAGAGTAAAATAAATAGGGACAACGGCTTGTCAACTAACCATTCAGAAACGTCCTGCTGCAACCGAGATGTTTGCACCTCCACCAAAACCTCCGCTGCTTCAGGGTCAGTTTCTGGATCAAATTGATAATATGCTTGAACACATGCATTGCTCTGAGATGGCATGTTTATTCCACACTCGTAATCACAGCAAACATGGTAACGTGACTCTCGCCGGCTCATGCCCCCCNTGTTAATATTATCATATTCATACAGACACACATCGATGAGACAGTTAATTAATGTACTTATTGCAGCAGTCTGCATATTTGGTACCCCTGCTGGTCTAAGAGTTAAACCAACTAATTCAGTTAAAATTCATTAAATTACGTGTGCCACCTTATATATTTATATTTAAGGCTTTACTGATGTGCCACAATAATGTCACCTAATGTTATTAAGTTAAAATATCAATATTGTGGCTTTCCAAGTTAACATTGATTGATATGACTGCGATTAAATCAGCATATACTTCTGCCAGGGGATGTCACCCCTGAAATTCTCCTGCCACCCTCTTGCCACCCCATGAATATTTGTCTAGATCCGCCCCTGCACCTGTGGTTCTCTTCAAAGAAAAGGCCTGAAGTTGTGTCACAATATCTGGTCAGTTTAACTGTTAGTGACCCCATTTTAAACACAGCAGTTACAATGCTTTAGGAAAATAAGATAAGTGCAATCATTGAAAA